CTGACTGTCTGATTCTGGATGCGCATCCAGGTGAATGCGCCCTCCCTCTCATCAGCGCTTTGGATTCAGACAGCTGAGCTTCAGACAGCTGTCAATCAGCTCCTCCAGTCCTCCAGAATAGACTTACGTTTTCCTAAGTAATAATTCTTCATTTGTAATAATTCTTAATTTGTTGTCCTTACTTCCAAGTTGACTTTAACAGAATATTTATTCTTTAACAGAATATCATTTAGAATTAATTTAACAGATCTCTACATTATTCACCTGCAGTCCTGTGGAACTCCTCCTTGGTGGCTCTGACAGGTTTAAGTCCAGGGAAAACGATGGGTAAAAGCTGTTTTAAGGCAATACGCACTTTTCTGACCACTGGGCATACAGGTGCCTTACTCAGGTGCTCTGCATCTCCAACATTGTACAAAAAACTTCCATTTGCAACAAAACGCAGCGCAGCACACAGTATCTGCTGGGACGTGAGAGCATGACTACGGTTGGTAATGCTACACATGTAAGGACGGATCAGGTTGTGTGTAGATGATGGACTGTGTCGTGAAACAGTGCCACTCAAAAAGAGAACTGTCTAAAAATACTAGAACATCTATGTGAGGTCTGATAACCACCTCCTGACAAATATTTAATTCTCTGCGCAGTAATGCTGCACCTTCATCCACGGGATCGTTATTAAAAGGACATGTTAGTGGAAAAAGTCTCCACTTACTGTGTCTAATGGACTTCTAAAACATACTGACTCTGATTTTTTTTTAATGATTTCTAACAGACGGCAGAAGGAGGTTACACAAAAACTTGTCTGTTGACTGACTGAATGGACGAATGAGGAAATCAAATAGTGTGTGTGGCTGAAAGAGAACGGAGACAGAGAGAAACTCAAGGTTCACTGGAAGAAGCCTGGTCCTGACCAGGTTAGGTTCATAGAATCTGTTACTACGGTAACTGACCGAGGTCTTAAGTTAGCTCTCTCTGTGAAACAGGCTAGAGTTACCCCTCTGTCTCTGGTTTGAGTTACTTCCCTTTGTGAAATGGAAAACTCAGTTTCCCTCATTTCAGGGTTAACAGACTCAGAGTTTTCACTAAACCTGCTTTGTGAAATGGACCCACGAAGCCGACTGTTGTTGTTGTGTTGATGTTGATGTTGTTGACAGCCTTCCAGATGTGCAGAGACAGATGTCCTCCTCCATCAGTGTCCATCAGATGTGATCTACTGTTTGTTGTCTCATTTCAACAGTGATCAGCTGATTCAATTCAATTCAAGTTCAGTTCAATTTTATTTGTATAGCGCATTTTACAACACATCATCACATAGCGCTTAACATAGTAAGATATAGGCCTTACAAATTTACACAGAGAACCCAACAATCCAAAGTTCCTGATCAGTCTGATGTTGGTCACAGCTCTGAGATCAGTGTGACTGAAGCTGCAAACCTCTGGCTCTTATTTCACAGCAGCAGCAGCAGTATCATGACATTTAGGAACCATGAGGTCTTCATAGAGAACAGAAGCTCAGGTCCAGCAGTCACATCTAGATCTGTGTCCTTGTGTTTGCTTTCATCCAGATGTGCTGACTGACAGCTTCCATGTTGGTTTGTCAGCTGATGTTTGAGGACCAGATGCTGATGGACTCTCAGGAACTGTTGGTTTAAATGGAGCAGCAGGAAATCCTGAGTGAAGAGTTTATGCATAAATGAAGCCTGATGACTGTCAGCAGTTTGTTTCCACTGTGGACTGCAGTGACATGTGCAGAGAAACACACCTGATGCTGACAGTGTGTGCAGGTGTGTGAGCCTGGAGCTCAGTGTGTTCACTCCAACACGTTAACATGAAGCTGCTGCTCTGCTGCTCTGAACAGGACTCAAGTCCTACTGCTCTTTAGACTGATGAGCTGCAGCACTGACAGCTGATGAAGAGTCTCTGCAAACACTCACTGATCTCCTCTGTTCTTTCTTCTTCTCTCTGCAGATGGGAGTCATGATGCTGATCAGGACGGTGTTTGTGCTGAGAGGATGAACTGTGTCCTGACGATCGAGAAGTTAACCAGCAGCAGCTGCTGCTGTGTACAGACTCTGATTGGGGCATGTTACTGGGAGGTGGACTGGGAACAAGTGTGTTATCAGTGTGTAGTTTGGTGTTGCTCCACACTGTGATTGATGGAGAACTGCAGTTAATGTTGATGTGATGCGTTGGAGGGCAGCCTGCATGTGCAGAGTGTGCAGGAAGTTTCAGGATGTTTCTGCAGGATTATATTTCAGGTTACAGTCGTGACTCGATAATCCGACCCTTAACAATCCGAAAACTTTGCTATCCGACAGGTTTTTATGAAAAACGAACGGAAACCATTGAATTTAGCCTTAAGATACCGACAGCCTTGGGTTCCGACTCTGACATGACATTTTATGTCACAAATAAGGATAACTGTGTGTTATCTGATTTAACAATCTAACAGATTGGTTACGTTCAGACTGCAGGACTTAATGCTCAATTCAGATTTTTTTGCGAGTTCGTTCACATTTCCAATTAAATACAACTTGTATGTGATCTGCTGTGTGAACGTCATACGATCCAAAAGTGTCCCGCATGCACAGAAGAGGACACGACGACGTCACACAGCAAGCGTTCTCAGTGTTTACGGAAGTAAACATGGATGCTGCCGCTGCCACCACCGCTGCTGATCGTTGAAACAGAAGTGTGACTGCTAACTAAACTGGCATCAGCAGCCAAATACTGCCTGCTATAAACTATAAATGTTAACAACAAACTACCCTTCAAGCATCAAGCTCTCCTTGTATCTCGACCTCCGTCTTGACAATCTGACAGCTTTGCTATCTGACATAAAAGAAGGTTTTACATTTAGTGTCGGATTATCGATTCACGACTGTGCTTTCTATTAACAGTTCTGACTGGCTGGTTCCAAGTACTTATTCTCACTCCCAACTTACATTGTGCTGCTGGTTATCAAGCTGTCTGGGGAGGGATATCAGGACTGCATCACAGACCGCCGTCCCTGTTCAGAGAAGAGCCACCACACCAATTACGACAGCCCTGAGTATATGTACTAAAGACAGTCGGTTTCCAGCTGTTTCCATGATGCTTGTGAAGGTTTGTAAATCCGAGAGCTAGAACTGACCTCCATGTTGTGGCTGGGGGCCCTCAGCTCTGTGACCTCACTGCTGGTGCTGGCCCCCCATGGCGGAGCGTGGAGGAGGACGTTCTGATCTCAGAGTCCTTGTGGTTCTCTGGAGAACGCTGTGCTGGAGAATCTGCTGTCAGTCCGTCTGTCAGCAGCCGAGTGCAGCGCGACTCTGGCACTAAATCTTTTCTTTCTTTCTAAGCATTTGAATTCGCTGTATGAATCACTCACTTGAGTTTCCTCTGTGTACTAAATGCTCCAAACAAACAAACTGGCCTTGTTTGATGACATTATATTCTATGGCATGTTTTACAACACATTATAGTACAACTTTCAGAACGTACTCTACTACGACTTTGTTAATCAAATACTACACTGTGACCCTTTTGATGACACACAGACATATTTTATGACCAACTTTACAGCGTAGGTTTTATGGATACTATAGGATCACTTTTCTTAAATGTCATACTCTATTTTAATAACATATGCTGTGACATTTTGGCGACATACTAGAGCAGGGGTCGGCAACCTTAAACACTCAAAGAGCCATTTGGACCCGTTTCCCATGTAAAAGAAAACACTGGGAGCCACAAAACCCCTTTGAAATCTAAAATTACGATAACACTGCATATGTCGCTTTTACCTTTATGCTATGTATAAAAAAAAACTAGTGTGTTGCATTTATGAAATCAATGAACTGCTACAGAGAAAACAAAATTTTATTTCTGCAAGAAAACATTTTTAACTCAAAAAAAAAAAAAGACGCTGGGTTGAAGGTTACCTTTAAATAAAATACTAAATATCTATTCAAATTACCCTTGTATTTATGAAATAAAAAGCTGATCTGAAATTATTCACCTGCAGCAAAGTAAAAATGCCGTCTGGTTGTCCTGCTGACAGCAGCTGGGACTGCTGACCAGACTCCTGACCACCTGTGAGTGCTGTGGGACAGGAGGAGCTCACGGCAGCACCGCTGTTCGCTGAGGACAGTAACTGCAGAACGATACGTGTTTTCACGTCAGAGTCTCCAAAACACCAGAAAAGTCTCCAGTAACACCAGACAGAGTCGCTAGATTTGTTGCTAGTTAAGAACAACAACAACAACAACAACAAAAATGCCAAGAAGATTTGGAAAGTTGCCAGATTTAGGAGCACGTCATCAAGGTGGCACCACTGCACATGCTGGGGAGTGTCGCACATCGGCAGTTATGACACATATTTTGAGCAAGTTCACAAAAATCTTCAAATTTAGAATCACATTTTAAAAACTAACGAGCTAAAATAAAATACATTTAAATTAAAGTACTCATTATTTATTTTCCAAAGCCACAAGGAGCCGCAGCAGAGGTACGAAAGAGCCGTGGGTTGCCGACCCCTGTGCTAGAACATGATTTATTCACAAACTGTACTGGACTTTTTCAAAACTTTTTTGATGACAATTTGACGTGTTTAATGACATTTTCTATGACATTCTACACTGCGACCTTTTCCATCAACACTGTTATTTCATACTATACTGTGACATAACACTGAGACATATCTGTATATATCTGTATTTGTTCTTACGTCTCTGGTGGTGGTGGGGCTGACTGAGGCTCTGCCAGGACATCCACTGATCACTGAAACAAATACAACAACAGAGTAAAGCAGAGACACTTACACAATGAAAACTTGTGAGTTTCTTTCTAATGAACGTGAACCCATTTGGTGAACGACATGAATTAACTGAAGCAAGTTAAGAAATAAAAAGAGGAACAGATGTGCATCATGTCTGCTTAGAGTTTGCGAGGAAACCATATACAGTCTTCCTCAAATGTATTCATAGCCTTCCATTAAAAAAAGGGCAAAATTCACAACAATCACTCAAATAACTAGAAACTGAAAAAGTATTAATAAATAAAAATTTGCTAAGTTATAATTTAGTGAAATAAGACATTGCTTTTGAATTGTGGTTGAAAAGAATAATAAAAAAAAAACCCCAAAAAACTGTCCCGGACAAATTAGAGCACTTTGCTGATGAGCAGTGGGTCAAAATCCAAATAGCTGTTGATAGGTGCAGAAGTCTGATTGAGAGTTACAGGAAACACTTGGTTGCAGTTATTGAAGGGTTGTTCAACAAAATATTAGTTTACCGGTCCCATCATGCTTGTTTGCTTGTTTTGTTTGTTTGTTTTAATATTTCTGTTGAACCACAATTCAAAAGCAATGTCATGATTTTCGTTTAATTAGTGGCACGGGATGAGCTCGACGCCCTACTTGTACAGACCCTGCTCTCAACTCCCCCTCCCCTCTCTGCTCTCTCCACACAGATGAGGCTTAGGTTGTTCA